GGATGGGGGAAGCAGAGGCGGGAGTTAGTTGAGAGGAAGGTTTTGGCTTTTGCTTTTTTTTTTTTTTAATATTTGATTCCACGTTGTCATCATGACGGTAACACACGTTGATGGCTGTAGAGTCAAGGGCACGTGAAAGCTTGCTTCCTTTTGATGACTCTCGGGTGGATGCTTATTTTGCAATTGGGAGGGTGGAAGAAAATGCTGCTTAGTTCAATCAGGTACTGAAGTGAGGGGCATCAAAGCAGAGGTGCCCGCTGGGAGCACAGGGTTGTTTTACTGCTGCAGGAAAGCAGCTCTGACAGTGAATTCGCTATGTCAAATCGCTGTTCCCTTGTTTGGAATTCCTGTATTTCCCGCCAGTTCACAAAAGCATCAGCCAGGTAAAGTTACGCCCAAGTCGTGGTTGCAGAAGCTGACTTGGGGCCGAAGGGCGGTGGTTATCCTTGGAACAGACCGATTTGCATCCCATGGAGAACCACTACCTGGCCCTGCTGGTGCTGGGCCTGTAACAGTTTCCTTCGTACTGCACATAGGGTAATTGTGTAAGTCTTGGAGGTGGCAGTGCCTTGTGGGAGATGCTCTGTAGTGATGAGAACTACATGCATCACCTGACCCTCGACTGTAAAGGGTGTGTTCAGGTGAAAATTATACAAATCTATAACTCATGTAACTGACATTTAGTCTTATTCTTAGTTTTAATTAACATCGAGCACTTTTCACTAAATATAAGGAATTTTTAGAAGTTAATTGTATTGCTTGTTACTAAATGTGAGATATTTTAAGTCTTGATACTGAAATAAATTAGTATGGTTCACTCTCAGAATTCTGAATTTGTTTGATTTCTCTGCAGTTAAAATCATACAGCAAATACCTCCTCTATGCTGAATTACTTGTAAATAAATTTAAATATTTTCCCCATTATATGGCATATAAATTTCTCAGAGTTATTTTACGTACTTTGAGAGAATGTTTTTATTAACCTCTGTTAATTTTGTGCCAACTGCTAGAAAAAAAATAAAGACTGAATAGCTCTTTTCAAATAACAGAGGTTGCACTTTGGCAAGCCGTACGTTCTGTCTTTGGCTTACAGATTTTCACTGAGGGGAGCAGCGTTCTTCTGCTGGATAAGTTAATGGAAGGCTTCTTAGTTAGCCGTCACATCTTGTTAGTTTAGCACACAGGTTTGACATGGGAATCCCACTGGAAAAGCTTGGGAATTGGATAGTTACTAGCTTTATCCCTTTCTATGAAGTGAGCCTGGCAAAGAGGGGACTGCAGGTTTAAAAATTACTTACTGGGGCAGTTAGCTTCGACAACAGTTTCACATAAAGGGGGATGCCTGATACTGCATTTTTAATCTCAAAATTGCTTAACCACACACTTAAGATTTTTAAAAGCATAGAAGTTACATAGGTCAAAGGAAAGCACAAAAGTGTTAAGCTACAGATGTGCAAACTTTACTAAATCAAATTTCTTCATAGCATTGTTTTTTCAGGGAAGTACTTGAATGGAAGACAGGGCTGTCTTCTCTTACCTAGTCATGGTATCCTGCAGGAGTTTTTCCTTTAAATCTTCTGAAAAAAAAAACGTTCACTTTAAACCCAGAACTTCTTGCAGAGATTTTTTTATGCACCCTTATTAGGCTTCATATAATTTTCAAAGAATAGGTAGAACAGTTTCACAAATCACCTGTTCATCTACCAAAAATGTCTTCTGGAAACCACTTCCCTACAACTTAAAATTGAAATGTATAATTAGCAGAACACTATGTAGACTTTGGAATAACTTTGATCCATTATTCCAAAACTGCAATTAAAATAGTATAACTTAAAATACATCATGGTAATTTTTATCTGAGAGTGTTGTCATTTCATCTTCTTTTTCTTGCAGCACCTGGCAGTGTTCGTTACGTCCACAATGATGTCATGGTACCTGACTTCTCTGCCTATCGCCGTCAAGATGTGCTAGATCCCACCACATCTTCTCAAAGCAGCAGTGAATCTAGAAAAGGGTTTTCCTACCTGGTGACTGCCACGGCCTGTGTAGCAACAGCATATACTGCTAAGAATGTTGTCACCCAGTTTATTTCCAGCCTGAGTGCCTCTGCTGATGTGCTAGCATTGTCAAAGATTGAGATCAAGTTATCTGACATTCCAGAAGGCAAGAACATGGCTTTCAAGTGGAGAGGGAAGCCCCTTTTTGTGCGCCACAGAACCCAGGCAGAGATCACTCAGGAAGCTGAAGTTGATTTGTCTAAACTGAGGGATCCGCAGCATGACTTAGACAGAGTACAGAAACCGGAGTGGGTCATATTGATTGGTGTCTGCACTCACCTTGGCTGCGTGCCCATTGCTAACTCTGGAGATTTTGGCGGTTATTACTGCCCTTGCCATGGGTCCCATTACGATGCCTCTGGCAGAATCAGGAAAGGTCCCGCTCCCTATAACCTCGAGGTTCCGACTTACCAGTTTCTTGATGATGATATAGTGGTTGTTGGCTGAGTATTGAGGCACTTGCTCACTTTCATGTTCCTGTGAATGTACGCTCTGTAAGGGTTAACAGATTCTGGAATACTGTAAAACCAGATGATCCTAAAAACATATTAGCTGTCTAGAGTCTCAACCAGAAGTATGTTTGAATACTTCACTGTTCAGTTTTAATAAAAACTTGGAGTGAGCACTTGTTCTGAGTTACGATGACGTGTATTTATTTGTGTACGGACTTCCAGTGTGTCCAGTCAAAGACATCCTGCAGCAGATGCAGAATATGTTTATGCAGCCCTCCTGAAGGGCTGCTGGTTCAAGGTAAACACTGAACTACACAGCCATTGTTCCTTTCATACCACGTATTTTCATTATTTGTACTTTTTTGGTTTTACTGCATTATGGGAAGGAACATCTGAAAAAGATCTTGCTATGAACTTCTAACTGTTTGGAGTAAGTTCCAATAGAGAGTCCTTTGAGATGTAATCCTTTTCCTTCCAATGTATTTTTTTGTTTGTTTGTTTTCAAAGGAAGTGAAGGAAAAAGTAAATAAAAACCTACCTAGAAAGAAAATTCTTTTACACTGTTCAGAGGCAGCTTATAGTTGTTTAGCTGGAATGATAGCAATGTAATTTTGTGACGATGTGGACAAAAATAAGCGTGTCATGTTAGAATCGTAGGTTTTTTTACTTGCAGATAAGGCTTGATCTTATACCTATCTAATCAGATCAGGTGCTTAGGACACTGGAAAATTTGTGACACTTTTCCAAAACAAGTAAGTTGAGAAGGAAGTAAAAAGGGAAATCCAAGTTTTACAGAGGGTGAAAAATAAATCTAAGAACCACTAAGTCTGGACTAATCTCTAATGTTAAACGTAGCAAAAGGTTGAGATGCAATCAGAGGCATTTCGAGACTCAATGATTTGTGTGAAAATTACCATTTCGTATTGCCCATAGGCTAAGCCCAGTAAAGGCCAAAACTTTGAAACCTCTCTTACCTTGGTGCTGACTGAAGGCGTAGAGAAAAAAAATGCAGCCTGAAAGAAATCTTTTAACCAGCATTGATCCTGCCAGTACAAAACAAAGCTCGCATTAATCGCCTGCAGTACGTGAGAAGAAACAAGGTTTGCTGTTTCCAGAACAACCGAAAAAACGAAAGCGATACCAAATTTACCTTGTACTTCCTGTTTGCTTCCCGCTCGTTACTGCTGCTCTGTGAATGCTGCTGTCTGGCACTGCGTTAATGTGCTTCCCTCGGCTGCAAAACAGAAAATACAATCCTCAGAACACCCTGGGTCTGCAGTGTTTAGCTTGACATATACCTCATGTAGAGCTGCAGCGACAGTTGGGTTAAAGCTGAAGTTTTAAATAGGATTAATGAGAATATTGATGCATTTGGCTCACCTGTTTCCAGATTATTCAGTGAAATAAAGACCATAGATGACTACTACAGAAGTTCTTAGGTATACATTTCACACCATTTCATAAATTTGAGGTTTAGACCTTACCACCATGTCCATAAAAGCATTCTCAAGACCTTTTTTTGGTATAATGAATCATGCTAAACCGGTACTGAGAGAGATGTTCCCAAACTTGTATCCAAGTAATTGGTGTTCAGGTATGTGCCTTGTGTTATAGGGTTCACCTTTCCTTAAATCTTCTATTTCAAGGAAGAAAGCAACTCCTGAAGTAGCATTAGAGCATTGCTCATCTGCTCTCAAGCAGCTGCTCTTACCTCATCCTAAAAATGTTTCAGCCCACGGGCACATTATTTAGGTCTAATCTTTGTTTACAGAATCACTAAGTAACTGCAATACCAGTAAATTTGCCTCCTGTAAAGCAAAGAATGGCCGGGGCAGTTTCTGAGTTGACAAGTGAACACCAGGAAAGCTAGAGTAGTTACGCTGCAGCTGGGCTTAGGGGATCATGCATAGAATTACTTGCAGTAATTACTTGAGTTGACAGCCTCAGATCTCCAAAACCACTCACAGTTCGGTATTGCAAGTACAGGTGCAAATTAAAAGCCATGAAATTTCATCGAACACATTGAAACACTTGTCTACTGTGAAGGCTGTCAAACACTGGAATAAGGGGAGAGGTTGTGGAGTATCCATGCAGATACTCAAATCCAACTGGACAGAGTCCTGAGCAGCCCTGCTTGTGCAAGGAGATTGGAGTAAATAATCTCAGGAGGTCCGTTCCAACCTCAACGACACTGTGATTTGCAAGGAATGATATCCAATTATTGTATTGTCTTCTCTGGGACCAGAAACTCCAGAAGACCTGAACTCCCTAAGGGGGAAGCATGAAGCAAGGGTAAATCCACACAGCGATGTGCTGATTGCAAGTAATGAGCTCACAATTACCTTGTGGGCTAAGACGTCCTTGGAAGGAGCTCTCACTACTGCCACTAATTACAGACATTACCACCATACAAATGCATAATGCTCCCTTTTTCATAGCTAGTGTACCCCGTGGCATTGGAAGTACAAGTATTCAAGTACACAGAAAAATACCTCTATATTTCATTAAATTCTGAAAATCCATTGCATTCGTAAGAAGCAATGGCTTGCCGGGCTTTGCCGTAGCCCTGTATTTCCACTTTGACTCCCTTCACTTCACTCATGGCCTTACCAGGGCTGTGTTCCTGTCAGGTCCTTTTCACTTGAACAGTTTGCCAGTGAAAACTCAGATTTCACCTAGCTAACAGGGCACCTTTCCCCTCCCAAAAATGTATGAAGATCCACTTCTCTCTTCATAACTGGGGTTTCCTCTTGTTTGTGTAAGACAGCTCTGCTTTCTGCATTCTCATACTCCTCCTAGGAATCAGAGAGGCAAAACACCACAACGTGGAGTGCTCCAGTGGATATTGCTGTACATGCCCCCTGAGCACATACAACTGGAGCCAGGCTGGCTC